AAGGAGTGGGAGGGTTGGAGCAAACAGCCACTCTAGGGTTACCATACATCCTCTTATTCCCGGACATGTCCGGCTTTTCGGCACTCAAACCCCCATCTGGGGGGAATTGCCAAAAAGCCGAACGTGTCCGGGAAAATGGCGGCTCTGCTCCTCCCCTGACTCTTCGGCTCTGTTTAAGAGCCGAGCTGCCCGAGCGCTATGGGCTTCAGGCAGCCCCCTTGCCTCCGGACCCCAGCCGCCAGGCGGGCACTTCCCCGCCCGGGCTCCGGCGGCGCAGGGTCCGGAGGCACGGGGGCTGCCCGAAGCCGGTAGCGCTCGGGCAGCCCGGCTCTTAAACAGAGCCGAAGAGTCGGGGAGGAGCAGAGCCGCCATTTTCCCGGACATGTTCGGCTTTTTGGCAATTCCCCCCAGACGGGGGTTTGACTGCCGAAAAGCCGGACATGTCCGGGAAAAAGAGGACGTATGGTAACCCTAGTTTAGAGGCTCACAAGAATCAATCAGTTTCCTTCTCCATTTGATCACAAGACTTAGATGAACAAGTAGTTTGTCTTGGAGCAGAGAATTAGATGTCAGGAGACATGAGTTTTTTTATTTTGAGCTGTGCCAATGACTCATTTTGTGACATTTAGGCTAAATCCTGCAAAATGATCTGAACAAGCAGCCCCATGCAGATCACATGGCTCAAGGTCTCATTTTCCCTATCAGTAAAATGTTCATCTATCTTTGCAAACTGGTTGGGATCCTTGCATGAAAGGGTCTGTACACACATGCAAAATATTACAGTTTATTAATGCAATCAAGGCACAGCAAATCTATTCTGTCTTGAGCATTCTTTAGAAGAGTACAAATCATTCTTTTATAATTTGAGGTATAATATTAATAACCAGCAGTAACTCATGTCACAGCTCTGAAGATATCTCCTAGTTTTCACTAGATCATTCACTGTTTAATGTTTCTTTTGGGGGGAGAGGGAAGGTAGAAGGGAAATGCATTAAAATTAATGGGAAAATTAATATTTTCTTGTAGGTTTCTTTCCTTGTATGGCAAAACTCTGAGTCTCCATGCCATTATTCAAAACTTACATTCCACTCTGCTTCCCATGTCATATACAGCTGTGTATTATGGGAGCAAAATTGTGCACTTATGGGGTTAGATTTTCAAAAAAGCTCTGCTTCCTTTTAGGGATGGATTTTCAAAAGTGCTCAAAACCCAGCAGTTTCTTGTATGGCACTTTTGGCCAGATTTTCAAAAAACTAAACACCCACAATACCAGGCTCTTCTGGCCCTAGTTGTGTGTGCTGAGCACTTCTGAAAATTCCAGTGCAATTTTTAAACAAAAGAACTGGAAGAATTAAAAGGATTGATGTGCATAACTTTAGAATGTCAATGTAGCCCTCCACTGATGTTTGTCTGTTTTGGTGTAAAACCTCCTCTGATTTGGAAAAAAAGTGGAACTTGGTGCTTTTTCCAGTGTCCACCAGCAACTTAACAGTGCAGCTAAATTGTCTGGTATCAGATTTTCTAATGTTGGTTTTTCTGCTTTTTCTCTTGTTCAATTCTCTACCCTTTTATGTTTGTTTGTTCATTTTTTGTTTGATTGCACGGCTGCTTGCTGCTTTGGCTGCTTTTGCTGATGCAAATTCAGGTGAAGATTTGGAAAGAAATGATGGATCCACAGCAAAACCGTACTACATGTCAGCTAGTCTGCACCGAATTCTGGGAAAGAAGGAACTAAGCCCTAAGAAGGCAATGGGATAACTTTAAAAAATTGCTGAAAATCAAAACAATGTCACTTTTAAGTGGGATGTGTATAAACTAGGCAAAAGTTAAAACTGTAAATGATGCTTCTGGTTGATGGGTGATTCTTTTTATTTTTGCTTGTATCTAAAATCAATTAGCAATTTGGTAACATCTAACTAGATAGGGAAATGCTTAAACTAAGAGCTGTGAAACAAGGCCACATTTTAGTTTATAGAGTGCCTATGAAAAAGGAAAATGTAAATTTGAATCATTTTTTATCCATAGCTAAAAGTGTTTTAATAACTTTTGTAACACAGGTTGCTGTTTCAAATGACAGCTGTTTTGATAACATTTCTTTTTTTATAAGTGTATCTTTGTAAATGATATTCAGGCAATTTTTGAAAGCACTACAATGTAACCTAATTAGCCATAAAAATAGATCAAGAGACTCTAGCAAACCAGCAGATGGTACTAAATTTGTAAATATGGTGCTATGGTTGTATTTTTACTGTACAAGCTGGTTGGCAGCGATTTAAACTGTGATTATATATGTACTAATAGTTCCCTACATAGATCTTTTGATCACCTCCATTACAAACTGTATATGTTAATAAATGAGAAAGGGTATCACACAGGTTCAGTCTCAAAGAAGGTAGCTAGAGTAGACTACAGCTAAAACTGCTTTATAGTGAAATCTGTTATAACATAACCCCCTTTAGAACAGAAGTTGGGTTAAACATTAACCTCCATTGAAGGAGTGTTCCACTGTACTTGAAGAACATGGTTTGTGGTTCCCACAAACTTTCTATTTCCATCTGGTGCAAGATGAAAAATGTATAGCTTTCAGCTGCTGTGAATGGGAGATGCCCTTGTATTAGTATCCCCGGTGCCTAATGGTTCTATGATTTTATTCTACATGATGTTGAGGTTGAGCTCCACCTGCAGTATGGAAAGGAAAAACTGAAATGCAGCCGTTTTCCTTAGAGGCAAGTCTTCATGGCTCCAAGGAATTCTTATTTCCTGTGTCCATCCCAGATGGGCTTCCTCCCTCCTTCCACAGGCTGAATGCATTGTCTCTGTGGGACTCTCAGCTCCTGTTAGCCCATGGAGTAAGTGGCAAGGGCTAGAAATAAAATCTGAGTCTCTCACCTGATAAAGCAGAGCACTAATTATTTAGACCAAGGAGCCAGGCCCATAATGTTTGGTGTATGTTTAAATCATTAAAATTGCATGGTTATAAATGCAAAGACTAGTAGTAGCTTTATACTATTGGTGTAATACATGTTCGTTTTACACTGAGGGCTTATTTACATGGTGCCAGAAAAGCGCACTAGAGGGGTGTGATTTGTAAAGCGTTTTAATGTGTTGCACCCTAACTGCCCTGTGTGGACCTGCTGATACACTCTAAAAGGACTATAGAATATCAGGGTTGGAAGGGACCTGAGGAGGTCATCTAGTCCAACCCCCTGCTCAAAGCAGGACTAATCCCCAGACAGATTTTTGCCCCAGATCCCTAAATGGCCCCCTCAAGGATTGAAGTCACAACCCTGAGTTTAGGAGGCCAATGCTCAAACCACTGAGCTATCCCTCCAGGAATATGTTAAGGCAAACTAGGTTCCTTTTAGAGCACACCAGCAGGGTCTACACAGGGCTGTTAGAGGGTTTTATAAATCACACCTATCTGGTGCTGTGTAGGCAAGCCCTAAAACCCAAATTCTGCAAGCCTTCTGTGCATGGAACTACCACTGAAGTCAAGGATAGTTCCACTTGTGCACGGCTCACAGGATCAGCCCTACGTTTTATCTGAGGATTTATGAAGAGTAATACAAAGAATTCATGATTACTGTAAGTAGGAGGAATGGGGTAACCTTTCAAGGTGATGTTATTTTTGTGAATGGGGCTAAAAATACTTTAACCTATTTAAATACTATTGTAGAATAATTGTTGTAAAGTTTAAGGGGGCCCAGTGGGCCAGCATCCCATGAGCATCCAGAGATCCAAAGCCAGTGAGTCTACGTTCTAGCCTTCATGGGCTAGAGAATTTTGAATTAAGTATTCCATGGCAGTCCACTTAACAGGGTTAGAATTGGCAACATCATCCAGCTCTGTTGCTATTACAGAAAGTGAGCTCCTGGAGTTCAATGAGAACCTCAGCATCAGAAAACAGGGGCAGGTTCTTTTCCAGTTGGCTGAAGATTCAGTCATATGGGAAAGAATTTTTAAGAGCCCATACTTTGCTCTCTGGAGGACAGCTCCATTCCCAAGGTCAACCAAGAAACAAGGGTTGGTATAATACAACAGAGATTAAAGGAGGGCCTTCCTCCATCCTGCACTTGGGTGAATGGGAGGGGAGTAGGAAATTCCCATCATGCCTGAGTAATTTTGTTTATTAATACTAGCCATAGGTTGAATCAGTTGACTACAGGTGAGTTATTCCACCCATATGTTTGGGGTAACTCCTAGGGAATGGAAGGATCTTAAGATCACATGGCCTATGCTTTCAAAAGTGACTAGTACTTCTGAAGGCCTTGATTTTTGAGTGTCCATCTTGAGACACTTTAAAGGACCCTGGCTTTCAGAAAGTGCTGAACACCCACTCTTTGAAAACCAGGCTCTTTTACAAGGCTTCTCAAATTGGGTATCCAAAAATTGAGAAGCAAAAATGCAAGTCTCTTTTGAAAATTTAGGCTAGAATGAACTGTTTGGGCTGTGTGCAATCATTCCATCACCTAAAAGTCTGCTGATCTGCTATTCTGGATCAGGCCCCAATGTAATATAGGATGGTACTGTAATTAGTTCATTAATTTGCACCCAGAAAGACTGAGCAGAGCCATCTATAGTTCTGCAGTGGATTGGAGAGTTTTACTGGGTGCTCTACTGAAAAAGCGTATTTCTGAGTAAAATGCGCTTTTTGCCATATGAATGTAACCGTAGAGTTTAATATGACATAATAGAATATGAATATGACATAATAGAAATAGTAATAATAGTCATATGATTAGAAGTTTTCTTAATAAACCTATGCATTTGCTAGAAGAATTTCTAAACGTTTTAAACTGAATTGATTGTTTATATACCATAGATATATATATATATATATAACGTTCCTCCATTCATTACTATTTTGTGAGAATTAATTTAGACTATAAATTTACAATGTTTCTGAGAAGAGCATTTAAAAGCCATTTTTTAAAATGAAGCAATTAAGAGAACTGTGAAAATGCAAAGCAATATCGCTTAAATTCTCCAGTCAATCAGCTGAAATACTTTTTTAAATTATTTAAAATTAAAATTGGTAAAAGAGAACTGAATATTTTGGAATAATGTAGGCAGAAATTAATACAAATATTAATTTGCAAAATAAATCATACTTTTTAAAGAATGTTTAAGCCTGATTATTATAATGATTCCTAACTAATCCTTTGGGCCAAATTCTGCCAATTTATGACCTACGCAATCCCAGTGAATTTGGCACTTTACTCTGTTATTTGCTTAAACATGAAGATAAAACTTAATTACTATGTACTTCCTCACTTTAGGGAAGTGGAATATTGGGCTAAGTATGGTATGTTAAGATTGTTTATTATATAGGTTTTGATCCTACACCCACTGAAGTGAATGGGAAAATTCCCATTGATTTCAAAGGGTAGAGACAGGCCCATATAGTGACAAAAGGCTGATTATTATTCCAACTGTTTACAGTATAATAAATGCCAAAACATCAAGTATTGAAATAAACCTAGAAAGCTAAGAGAGCTGTTGTGCATTAAGAGTTCAGCAGGTGGTGCTATTACTTTTCTTATTGTACTGCTTTGATCATTTACTTTGTGCCATTCTTCCTTCTAGTGGAAGATTTAGAAAGACATGATGGCTCTGCAGAAAGACCCTATTATATGAGTAAATCTCTCTTGAAGATTTTGAACAAGCAGAATGTAGAAACCAAGAGACATTAGAAAATACCCAATGTTGTAACCACCCAATCGTGTTGGATTTAGTCCTGGTTTGATGCATTGTCTTCCCAACACTGTATTAATTGTCGGCTTTTATTTGCATGTTTTATACCAAAGCTTCTATGTAAAGCCATCAGAATTGGTAAGGAAACAGTTTAAAAAACAAAAAACCCAAGATGTGACCATTTTTATACTGAGATTTGTTTTTTTCAAGTTGTATTTAGCTTTTAATTCTAGTGGCTTGGATGTTTTGAAGATGCGGAATATTCTTTTAAATATAAGCATTTAAAAATATGAAATGTTTTCCTGTTGCATATTCTGGTATAGGACAGTAAAAAGATTTTAGAAATCATCATATTAAGCTTATTCTAAAAAGAGAGTCTTTAAATATCCTTCTAAAAATAAATGATCATAAAAATGATTAGACTTAACAGTTTGTCTCTGTATTGTAGTATAGAACTTCAGTCTTTAAACTATTGCCAGTCACCCAGCCTGTACAACTGTGCCCTCTATGACAAAAGTGCCTTACTGGCTATTATTATTACCCAGCTTATATTTTAAAGTTTACATACATAATTTAAACCACAAAATAGAAATTGCTAGATAGGAAAAACAAGACTCTTCCAGCTTAGTTGAAATGAAGTGATATAAAATCAACTGCATTTTAAATACATTTGACAATTTTGCTAAATACTGCAGCATGCACAATTTCCCTATTACTGTTGTCAGATCATGCGTATTTTATGCTCCAAAAAAGAAAGTAAAAGAGAATGTTTTTGTTACAAAAAGAAAATCATGTAAGACTGTTTGGTTTGCTTTAGTAAACTTTTCTAAATCTAATTTAGGGGATGCTGAACTCTTTAACTGGGGGCCCTATTTTGTCTTCAGCTTCAGAGATAGCCCATTGTAGTTAGATAATTGAAGGTAGAATTCGGCCCTTGGTATTTAAAATAGAATGAAAAGGGAAGTTAGTAGATATCTGTTACACCAATGTTATATGTTTTTTAGGTTCCCAAATGTAAAGTAGATGCTTCATTTTAAGACTGATTATTTACTATTCTGGAAGTGTTTTATAAATGACCTTTAATTTTCTAACTTTTGATACAGACTATTGGAATATAAGTGCTTCATGTTTAAAATTACTAGTGCTATTAATATAAAAACTGATTGTCTGTTACTATATGTTACAGAAGGGTCCATAAGCATTTATTTCAAATATGTACATGTAAAATCACAAAAAGACAATTTAAAAGTTGAGAAATGAGAGAGAAGTAACTGTCATTTTCACTTATCACATTTTTCATTTTGATGTGACTTTTAGAGATTTATCATTTTCATGCCAAAACCAAACTAATGTGAGCACATGACAGTCTGAGCTCTAAAACCTGTTTGCTTCTGCTGTGCAGAAATATTGGGAATGTATTGTTTAAATATCTTTGATAACTAAAATGTTTAATATTTAATGAAATTTGTTGTTACTTATTGTTTTACAGCTCTTGGGGTTTGTTCTAATAAAGATTTAGATATAAAAGAAGGATGCCTTTGTGCGGTTGCTTTTATTTTGGTGTGTGGCTTTTTAGGTAAATCCCTTCATGAAAACTCACTGTAAAAATATTTTAGTTAGATTTATACCGTACTACACCACACAAGTGCACCCATCTCATGTCCTGGGTGCCACTGACATCTTAATACATCTCCTTAAATAAACAGACTCCAGCAATTACCTGCAGATAGTACAGCCTTGGCAGCAACATGATTATAATAAACCTCACCAGCAAAATCACTCCCAGAATGATGCATCAGTGCAATGTGGCAATTAGGAGTATTCAGCTCTTGGCTCAATCCAAGAGCTCTCCTTAATTTGATTTATTTCAAGCCTCTTAGTACCTTGTACAACTTAAAAAAAAATGTGAAGGATCAATATCCA